TATTCTCAGCTCTAGCACTAAACATTGTAATGACAGTTTCCCCTTGCTAAATAATAGGTCATCCAGGGTGGTCCTCAGTGAGTATGTCACATTCCTGTTTCCTAACATCCATACACAATTTTGGCACACATTTTTCTCCTTGTCTCTCTTAGATTTCAGTTCTTAGATGATTGTTGACAATCCTACAATAAATTCAAGGACCTTTAAAACAAAGTACATATTACCAGGCTTAAGAAAAATTCAGCTAGTCTGGATTAGGACAGATTTCAACATTAAAGGGATCTGAACATACCATAATTTGGCAGCTCTATACCAAAAACATTATTATTCCCATAGCTTTGCCCAGAGACGATTCCCTAACACAAGATATCCAGACTGACCACTTAGGATAAGCAGTTATACAAATAAAAACTCATTGTCATCTAGCCTAGGAAACAGAAAAGAAGCCCAATCCAGATAGGCTTACTCAGCCAGGTGAGTCCCTAACCTTCCATGCTAATGAAGAAGATGTGATGTTCTAATGGAGAGCATCAGGAATATGTCCAGGAACCTCAAGGACTGTGTTAGGAGCGAGGTGGTTACAAGTAGCAGGGGATAGCTGCTCCCATCCTCTCTCCAGTATTACTGAGCATCTCACATATGCCAGGCTCTCATCTAAGCAGTGGATTTTCAGTGTCAATGAACAAAGTCCCACATTCACAAAGCCTCCATTCTATTGATGAGACAGACAAGAAATAAATAGGATGTCAGAGTATTAAAAATGCTATAGGTAATACGATATAAATGAAAGAGAGCAAGCAGAGGCTGCTGTTTTATGTAGAATGGTTAGGCAAGAGGACACTGAAGCAAAGACTTAAGAAAGCTCAGAGCAGGATATAGTAGGTATGTACTAGAAATGTTCTGGGAACTACAATGAGGTCAGTAAGTCAGGCTGGGAGGACAGAAGGAGAGAGGTGGAGACACAAGACTGGAGTGACAGGAAGCTGCAGGGGTTTGGGGCCACTTAGATTTTAAAGGATACTGCTTCCCAGGAAGATAATATATATTTCAATTCACTAACCAAACAAGGAAGAAATAAGAGATTATGCTCTACTTTGGTGAGACAGCACTATGTTCTCTGCAACGAAAACTTAAGGTATACAATTATTTCCAAGATGGCTGGAGCCCATGAAAGGGTAGCAGTTCAATAAGAATCACACCTCATGGCTGCAATGGCCCCGGAACTGTGGCCTATAATGATGGTCTTTTCATCACACTGCAGCTCCGTCTCCATGAAGGGCAGCCAGATGCACTCTCGAGCGGTAACTGTGGTTCAGGATAAAGAAAGTCTGTCATTTGATATGGATAGCCTCCATGTAATGCTACCCCACCTTTCTAACAGATGACCATTCAGCAGCTCACAACTTCTAAAATGTGCAAGCACAATGGGAGATGGGTTGTTTTTAACAGAGCCCGGATTTGTGAGTTATTGGTTGAAAGCTTTAAAAAGCTGTTTTTCAGACAAGGCCTTGTTATGTAGTCCTAATTGATTTCAAATTTTCAATCCTTTTACCTAAGCCCTCACTCAGTGCTGGAATTACAACTGTGTGCCACCACACCTGGCCTCAACTCTAAAGCTTTAATGTAAATATTCTTGAAAATATTTATAATTCAGGTACATATTCATTCTTTCCTGAAGCAGCTCAGAAGCATATCCAAAACAAAAGGGGTAAGTTTCATTTTTTAAAATATTAGGTTCTCAAATAGAGTCTATAAAGTTTAAGCATATCTTTGTCTCAAATGGAACAACCATAAATCCTGCCTGAAAATGTATACTTAAGAGCAAAAAAAGCCAAGTTGTTTGCAAAGTTCAAAATTAAATGTTATCAAACTCTGTTGCTTTTAATATTCTTTACTAGAATTTTCCTTTTTTTTTTTTTTGGTTTATGCCCTCCTCCCCAATCTACTTGCCTTATTCATTCTTAGGTATATATTTATCTTTGGGTTCTCTACAATTTTCCTGTTCTTTAATCATTTAGAGGATGAAAAAAAAAAAAGATGAGACCAAAACCCAACAAAATAAGGCTATTTAAAAAAAGTTTAAAACTTACTTGGGTCAGGCATGTTTTTAGCCAAACACTGGAAACCAGGTATCTATGATATGAGGGGGGAAAAAAAGGCTATAATAAAGAGCTTAATTGCAACTAAAACTTTGCTAATAAGAAATGTGACACTTGATTTGTCCTTATCAATTCACAGTTTGCTTACAGTATGAAAGGAAGTGGGTTAAGTGCTATACAATTACAAGGGAACATATAATCTCTCCTCATAAAGTCCATCTGTAGTTTTCTATGTAGCCCGTTCTGTAGACCTCTACAGAGACTTGTATCTACATTTGCACATGGGTATTTTTCTTGAAAGCACCTGTTTGTAGACAAGGCAAAAGTGAATGTGTTCTAGATAGACTGACTTAGAGCCAAACACTGAATTCCAGACAGATAAAACAATACAGAAACATGGTAGAGAAGTTAGACATCCCATTCTCTAGGACAGCTCCAGCCCTGATCTTTTGGTTTGTAGCTCTGTTCATAGAGTTCAGCCACCACCCTGAAATTCTATTCCAGAGACCTACTATTCTATTGAATGTATTTACCCTTCCTGAAATTCTATTCTAGAGGTCAAGCCAGGAAATAGTTCTACTGTTGGATTATGGAAGAGGTTCTTTGTTTTGTCAAGATTCACAAGGCAACTTAAAATATATTAGCATTTTTATAAGGTTCACATAGGAGCCAAATTAAATGACATACTGCCTAAAGGGCATACATAAGAGTTGTAAAACTATTTTAATTTAAAAAATAAGCAAACGAGGCATTTCAAGGTGGAAGGAAAATGGAATGGGAGACATAGTCATCCAGAAAATATTGGGAATGTTCTGAATTTAGTCTGGGCCAGGGATATAGCTCAGTGAAACAGTGCCTGCAAGCCTGAGGTTCTGGGTTTGATTTCCAGTACAGGGGGAACTTTTTGTTTTGTTTTGTTTTGAAGTTGGGTGATTTGTTACATTAGCTTCATACATAATCTACACACATTACATACAACCTTTGTATAATATTATGTACTTCATATTTAGAAAACAGAAAGCAGGAAGAAATGAAGAGGGATGTAAAATTATTTGAGAAGTCCCAAATCAGAACTGGCAGCAGATAGGGGGAAGGGTGGGGACTCATTTCTGTAGTTCTAAAAAGGGTGTGCTTGTTCGTTGTCTAACAACAGAGTTCTCAAGAGTAGTCTTCTAGGCATTTTCTCAATCAAAATCCTGGCCCCTAGATCTGGCCTTTAGGAGAGGGTAGCGGAAAAGAGGAATGGAAACAGGTCTCTGCTGGAGGTGGACAGACACAGGTGCGAACTTCGTTCTTGAGTATTCCTCCTCATCGCCCCCCTCCCCCCCACGGCTCCAAGCCAACTTCCCAGAGCCGTGAGGTCTGCATCTCTTACCTGCTCCAGCCTCTTTTTCACCCAGCCGTACCAGCCGTGGGTGGCCACATCCCCGCCTCCGTTCCCGGGAACAATCACTGCCTTGCTAGGAGAAGCCATAGTGTAGAATCCACAGCACCAGGTCTTGCACTGCTGGAAGCCAAGATTGCATCCGGCCAGGAGCCTGCACTGAGGTCTTCTGGGACTTGTAGTTCTAGAAATGTAGTTCTTTCTTTACCCTAACTAGTGCTCTATTTAAGACAGGCAGTGACAGGTTCAGAATGTGTTATCTCTTTACTTAAATATTTCTATAAGAAAAGGTGTTTTTAGTTGGGCTCATGCCTGTAATCCTAGCTACTCAGGAGGCTGAGATCTGAGAATCTCAGTTTAAAGTCAGCCCAGGCCAGAAAGTCCCTGAGACTCTTATCTCCAATTAACCACCACACAACTGCAAGTGGAGCTGTGGCTCAAATGAGTAGAACACTGACCTTGAGCAAAAGAGCTCATGGTACAGTGGCCAGGTCCTGAGTTCAAGTCCCACAGCCAACAAAGAAGATTTTTTACAAGCATGCAGAATATAAGCATTTTATAACTTAGGGACTCCTTAAATCCATGTTATTTTTTCCTTCTGATTTCCAATAGTTTTTTTTTTTTTAGCTGAATCAGCCGTGGTTGCTGCATTTTATTGCTATAAATGTTGTCTTTATAAATGTTCTCATCTTCCCTGTAGGGCACATACGTAGCATTCATTCTTAAAACCAATTTAGAGCCTAGGGAAACTTTGAAACAAACAAAATTATTTGCTTATTAGAATATGGCAGTCCTGAAATCATGGGTCTGTCTTACATAAAGTTTATTTAACAGAGTTGGACAGAAATGTGCCATACAGGAAAGTAAGTCTTTTTTGTGGGGTGCGGGTACTAGAGGCTTGAATTCCATCTCCTCCAGCTCTCCATTAACTTTTTCACTCACAGCTGGTGCTCTACCATGCCTCTATTTCTAGCTTTTTGCTGGTTAATTAGAGATAAGATTCTTAAGGATTTGTCTACCTAGGCTGGCTTTGAACCCAGGTCTTCAGATCTCAGCCTCATGATCAGATAGAATTATGTGTGTCACTAGTACCTGCATTAGGAAAGTGCTTGCTTGGTTCCTTCCTTTTCTCTCTTTCTTTTTCTCCTTTTCTTCCTTCCCTTCCATTCTTTCTTCCTTTTGTTCTTTTCTTTTTTCCTTCCTTCTTTCCTTTTTTTCCCTCCCTCCCTCCTTCCCTCTTTCTCTTTCTTTCTTTCTTTCTTTCTTTCTTTCTTTCTTTCTTTCTTTCTTTCTTTCTTTCTTTCTTTCTTTCTTTCTTTCTGTCTGTCTGTCTGTCTGTCTGTCTCTTTCCTTCTTTTGTGTGTGCTAGTACTGGGGCTTGACCTCTGGGACTGGCACTGTCCCAGAGCCCCTTTGCTCAACACTGATGTGTGGCTCCCACTTCTGGCTTTTTGTGGTTAATTGAAGATAAGAATCTCCAAGAAGCCAGGCGCTGGTTGCTCACGCATGTAATCCTAGCTACTCAGGAGGCTGAGATCTGAGGATCGCGGTTCAAAGCCAGCCCAGGCAGGAGAGACCGTGAGACTCCTATCTCCAATAAACCACCAGAAAACTGGAAGTGGCGCTGTAGCTCAAGTGGTAGAGCGCTCGCCTTGAGCTGAAGAGCTGAGGGACAGCGCCCAGGCCCAGAGTTCAAGCCCCACGACCGACCAAAAAAAAAAAATCTCCAAGAAAGCAGGAATGGAGAGGTAAGGAGGGGAGGGAAGAGGAGAGGAAGGGAGAGAGGGGAGAGAAGAGAGGAGTTTTCTCCCTAAGGTCTGCTTCTGAGGCGTCAATTGCCCCAACATGATAATACCTCCATAGCTTGGAAGCTTTTTGGAAGCTTCTTCAGAAACCAACAACAAAGGTCAAATATTTTAACCTTATTTTTAGTCATTTAAAAAGTAATAAAGCATATGATATTCATATACATAGGCCCTGTGCTTTATATAAACCTCAAGAAAATGCAATTGGCATGCCTACTTTCATTATCTCAACTGTAGCAATGGGTGTCAAACTCACCAGCTAATACATATATGTATAGTTTCTTATACATCAACTATACTTCAATATAAAACACACAGATGCTGAGAAATCTGAGAATATAGGATCAAAGCTAGCATAAGCAGAAAAGTCTATGAGACTTATCTCCACTTAACCAAAAAAAAGTCAGAAGTGGAGGTGTGGGTCAAGGGGTAGAATGCCAACTTTGGGAGAGGGGAGAACCCAGCCAAAGGCAAAAGTCCTGAGGTCAGCTGGGCACCAGTGGCTCATACCTGTAATCCTAGCTTCTCAGGAGGCTGAGATCTGAAGATCATGGTTTGAAGCCAGCTTGGGCAGGAAAGTGTGAGACTCTTACCTCCAATTAATCACAGAAAAAGCCAAAAAGTGGTACTGTAGCTCAAGTGGTAGAGTACTAGCCTTCAGCAAAAGGAGCTTAGGGACAGTGCCCAGAACCAGAGTTCAAGGCACAGGACCAGCAAGCCCCAGTACTAGTACTAGATAAATAAATAAAACAAGCACAGACATTTCAGTTTCCATGTTTGCTTGCTCAGGGGCTTAATTTGTTCAGGAAACAATGGCATTACATTAACAGAAACTGGCTGAAAAAATGAATCATCCTTAAGCTTTGGGTAGCTTTTCAAAGGAAAATAGAGAAGACAATGGCTTCTACTTTTCCCTTTTCATGGGTTGTTTTATGCAAAGAATGATTATACAGATTATATGATTTCATGTAAATCCACCTTGTTTTTAACTCTTGGGCAAATATATTCTGAGATTGTTATGCAAAAAATTGTTTTTTGGGGTTTAAAACTAATGTCAACTTTTTTATGAATTAAAAAATGTTCAAGGGCTGGGAATGTGGCTTAATGGTAGAGTGCTTGCCTGGCATGCATGATGCCATGGGTTCAATTCCTCAGTACCACATAAACAGAAAAAGCCAGAAGTGGCACTGTGGCTCAAGTGGTAGAATGCTAGCCTTGAGCAAAAGAAGCTCAAAGAAGCCGGGCGCTGGTGGCTCACGCCTGTAATCCTAGCTACTCAGGAGGCTGAGATCTGAGGAACGCGGTTCAAAGCCAGCCCGGGCAGGAGAGACCGTGAGATTCCTATCTCCAATAAACCACCAGAAAACCAGAAGTGGTGCTGTAGCTCAAGTGGTAGAGCGCTCGCCTTGAGCTGAAGAGCTGAGGGACAGCGCCCAGGCCCAGAGTTCAAGCCCCATACCCAACAAAAAAAAAAGAAGAAGAAGCTCAAAGATAGTGCTTAGGCCCTGAGTCCAAGTCTCAGGACTGGTCGGGGGAAACAAGCACAAATGCACAATTATATTTGGTACATTATTTGCTAATATGGAAAGCATTTTTTTTTGTGTGTCGGACATGGGGCTTGAACTCTGGGCTTGGGCACTGTGCCTTCGCTCTTCAGCTCAAGGCAAGTACTCTACTGCTTGAGCCAGTGTCACTTCCGGTTTTCTAGTGGGTTTTATTGAAAATGAGTCTCACGGACTTTTCTGCCCGGGGTTGGCTTTGAACTGCGATCCTCAGATCTCAGCCTCCTGAGTAGTTAGCATTACAGGCATGCGCCACTGGTGCCCGGCCAGAAAGCGTTCTTTAAGAATTTGTTGTAGGTGTAAATCAGTGGTAGAAAGACTTGTCTAGATTGTGCAAAATTCAAGTTTGTTTCCCAGCACCCTAACACCTCCATTAAAACAAAAAGCCACAAACAAAATACACACACACACACACACACACACACACTCACACACACACAACATTACTGATTCAGTTTTAGTCTTCCTATGGAGTTCAGCCATCTTCCTCTAAGGACTTCCAAAAAAAAATCTTCCTCTGCCTGTGTTTTTCTTTTCAGGTCATGATCTCTGCAGAAGGAAATGCATATCTTAAATCTTCAAACTTGCTATACAAATGCTTTCTTCTCTTCTGGGGTTGCTTTCCTATTTCTGCCAGTGTTTTTTTTTTAATTTTATTTTACTGTAAAGATGCTGTACAGAGGGGTTACAGTTAGTAAGATCATGAGATCATTTCTTTTTGTCGGTCGTAGGTCTTCAACTCTAGGCCTGGGCGCTGTCCCTCAGCTCTTCAGCTCAAGGCTAGCGCTCTACCACTTGCGCCACATTGCCACTTCTGGCCTTTTTTGTTTGTATGGTGCTGCGGAATCGAACCTAGGGCCTCATGCATGCAAGGCAAGCACTCCACCGCTGAGCCACCTTCCCAGCCCCAGGAGTACATTTCTTGTCGCGCATTGTTATGGGCTCCTTTGTTGTTCTCCCACTATCCCTTCCCTCCACCAAACACTGATTTCGTTTGCTTGTTTTTGTAAGGAGGCGTCAAGGGAAGCATTCTGCAACGACTTGAAACGTGATGACTTTCGCCACTGGTAGGAAAGCGTAACAGTGTGGTGGCTGCAGAAGGTCGTTACTCTCCTAAAATGAAGGTAACACTTCCCAATTGCTGCTTCCTTGTTGAAGGATGACAGGGATGTTGTCGCAGAAATTATCTGAGTTCCAGTGCAGAAGCCCTGACGGCAAACAAGAAGGAATTTCGTAACGTGATGAAACTCAACCTAGGTGAGACGGGCTCCCTAGAAAGCCACTGCGCCTAAGTCCCGGCTCAGCCGCTGTCCGCCCCTTCCCCCAAGCAGACACCTTCCTCCAGCAGCGTCAGCTGACTCCCTCTCGCGTCCCTCCTGCTTCCGGGATTACATGTCATCCTCGCTTCCTTTAACCGAGGCGGTGAGAGCCACGTCCCACCTAGTGTAGCGGATGTCATATGGAAGCAGGGGCAGCTTCTCAAGACTTCTAACTGACGCCCAAGGAATGGTCCGATAGAAGCCTGCCTTTTGTAAAGAGAAATCTTTAGGGATGAAGAATCCTTCGGGGAAGCAAGTACTCTGAGCAGTACTGTTAGAGGGTTAGGGCGCTATTGTCTTGCCCTATTCCAAGATGGCGACTCGGCTTCACCGAGTTCTCACTTCCGCTCCCCCTCTCTAGTGAAGCGCTCTCTGAATGGCTAGGTCCTGGTGCCGTGGCGTGACGTCACGACCCCCTGACCAATCGGTTGAGAGCTGAGCTGTACTAGGCAGTGGGAACCGGACTCTGGCCCTCGTCGTGTGTGGGTGCGGACGGTTGTGGCCAGGTGAGTTGGGTCAGCCAGGTGAGTGCCTAGGGGTCGAGTGAATGGGGAGGAAGAAAAAGAGGGATAAGAACTGGGTCATTAAGGCCGGCCAGGTGGGGCTCTTCTCAGATGAAGCCTTTTCGTAGTAAGCAGGAAAACTACAGTGAATTGACGACCCAGATCCTTGCTGAAAGTGACTGGATTTACACGCCCCTTGGTATCTGAGGACCGGATTCTGGCGCTCCAGCTGGAAGGACCCAACCTCTATAATTGAAGTTTTGCTTTGTGACTGACAGAGGTGGAACTAGAACCCATGTTTTCAGACTGCCGTCAAGGGTTAGGCGTTAGTTAATGTTGTCTAAAGGTGTTCTCTATGTTATGAAAAGTTATGCCTTTGGCGAGATGAGCGTGATTGATTTTGTTGTTGTTGTTGTTGGACGTTCCCACAGTATCTTTCCAGATCATTTATTCATTCATTCATTCAATTTACTTCTTACGATACTCTTATGCTTTGAGAATTTGGCTTAAGCCGCCCTGGAAAAATGTACATTTGTTTTTCTGTGCACAGTTTTACATAAAACTTTGTAGGAGTCTTAGACCCTTCGAAATCCTCTAAGAATTGGTGGCTTAGCCCAAGGGAAAGGAAAGAACGTCAGGTTTTAATATGTAGAGACCCATGAGGGAACCTAGTACTTTATAAGAAGTATTTTGAGGGGCTGGGAAGGTGGCTCAGTGATAGAGAGCTTGCCTTGCATGCATGAGGCCCTGGGTTCGATTCCTCAGCACCACATAAACAGAAAAAGCTGGAAGTGGTGCTGTGGCTCAAGTGGTAGAGCGCTAGTCTTTATCTGAAGAGTTGAGGGACAGTGCCCAGGCCCAGAGTTCAAGCCCCATGACTGGCAAAAAAAAGAGTATTTTAAGATGGAAACAATCATTTAATGATGTTTTGCTAAAGTACTTGCTATATTAGAACTTGCTTTTTATTCACACTTTTGTCCTTCAGGAAATAGAAGTGCCTTCTGTGCAGAAGTACTTCAGCTTTCCACTTCTGCTAGAAACAACAAATAGATGTCTTAGAGGTTTTTGTTGGAGCAAACATTTGGAATTTTTGTTGTGTGGGTTCTGTATAGAATAATTCATTTGCCTTCCTTGGAAACTTCTGTAATCTGAATTGGAGACAATTGTATTCAGCTTTGTATGAAGTGACATTAGAGGCCACTTTAATATTGTAAATTGTTTTCTCATTTTTTTAAGACAGTCTCAAGATGTAGGAGTCACTGTGTAGTTCAGGATGTCCTTGAGATTTTTTTATTTAATCACTGTGTGATATTTAAGCAAAATTGAATCTTTATTAAGCAAACATTTTTGCATATACTATCTTCTCTTTATCTTTCTGGGACTTTGTCTTTTATTAGACTTTGAGCCATTCTGCCCGGATGGCTTAATCTTCATGAGCGTTCATAAGATCAGCAAATGTTTCATCGTATTCTTTTAATTCTTGCCATCTGTTAAGTGCTGGAGTATAGTGTTGTGGTATTTTGTAGGTCTGTCTTAAAAGCTTTCAAATAACTGTCAATTACTCCTTGCCAATTACACATCTTCAGGTTTTGAGCACAGTCAGGACCCAAATAAGGGTATAGGCTGCCGTTGGCATCTATCTGCTTTCTTTCTTTCTTTTCTTCCTTCCTTTCTTTCTCCTTCCTTCCTTCCTTCCTTCTTTCTTTCTTTCTTTTTGACGATTGTGGGGCCTGAACTCTGGGCCTGGGCGCTGTCCCTCAACTCTTTAGCTCAAGGCTAGCTCTCTACCACTTGAGCCACAGCACCACTTCTGGCTTTTTCTGCTTATGTGGTGTTGAGGAATCGAACCCAGGGCCTCATGCATGCAAGGCCAGCTCTCTATCACTGAGCCATGAGCCACTTTCCCGGCCCCGAAATACCATGGAAATATTTTTTTTTTTTTTTTGGTTGTAAGGCTTGAACTCTGGGCCTGGGTGCTGTCTGTCCCTCAGCTCTTCAGCTCAAGGCTAGCACTCTACTACTTGAGCCACAGTGCCACTTCCTATCTGCTTTTTCAATAACAATTTTTGAACTATCTGCTTACCTTTAAACCTTTAGATATTTTTTAAATAGTGATCTCCCAGTTTGGGGATTTTTTTTTCTTTTCTTTGCTGGTCCTGGGGCTTGAACTCAGGTCTGAACACTGTCCTTGAGCCTTCCCCCCCCCCCC